GAGGATGCTGATCAACTACTATATAATTCTCCTACATTTTTACATAGAAGTGGGAGAAGAAAGAAGAAAGCCCTTTGACAGTTAAAAGGTATATGAAATACTGGGTTTTTTTGCTTAAGTAATTCCTTTGGTTAGAATATCTAACTGGTGTAGTGAGCCACAAAACTAGAATCTGTGTTTGCCTTTTGAGTAACAGAGGACCAAAACATTCCCCAGCACCAGAAGAACTTTCGTGGACCAGTTACTAAGAATTTGAAAGATCAAGATCATGGACTGTTATACTCTGATTAAATGTAGGGAATCATGTAAATAGCAAAGTTACAGTATTTAGTAGTAACAAGTCATTGGAAAAAAATCATAGCTATGTAAATCCTAGAGCATATGAAGTGCCTCCTCAATCAGATTGTTAAAATGATGGGTCTGGAAGGTGTGGGGGACATTTATACTCAATTGTGGGAAGTAATACATTTCCAAATATGAAAAAAATCCCATCATCTGTAAAACCCACACTGGAAAAAATGTGTGTTTTCTATTCACAGTTCTAGAGGTGTTTCTGAAAACTTTCTGTTTTTTTGGGGGGATGGATTTTGCTGAACTTGTGCTAGATGTAGTGCTTCCAGGAATCCAAATGATTGTCTGAGCAAAGCTCTGAATGCTAGATGGTGAAAGAGCAATGCTTGTCAGCATGCTGACAGTCCCCATGTCTACGCAGGTTGAAAATTTGTTCACAAGATTTTGAAGGCACATGTAGTGAGATAGCTATTAGTATGAGTTTGCTTACAAATAATTTCCGGAGGAATTGTGAAATGTTGTCAGACTTGTGCTGCATGTAGATTAAAATGTGAAAACACAGTCTAGGAGCTTGAGTTATAGCCATATTTATGCAGCTTGCTGTATTTAGAAGACAGCCACAGTTGCTTTTGGACAAAGTCCCTTAGCAAGATACCAAGGACCAGTTCTACTAAGTTCAATCCCTGATTATTTCAGCTTTCATTTTAGTATGCTTTATTTATTAACATGTCAATATACTAAGTTAATGTGATAATGTTGCCTTCATTACATAAAATCTTACCCAAGTTCATAATTTCTGCTCCAATAAATACTAATTAAAAAAATTGTAATTGTTCATGGTAGATAAGTTCTCCCCCAGTGTTCAGTACTGGCGTTTCCTACAGGCTTTAAGCCAGGTTTTATGTCTTCTCTCTTCACATGTTCAGATGTTGAGTGCCTTTTCAGGGTCATGAACGACAAGCAGTTGCTACTCAAAAGTACTGTTAATCTATTACTTTTATCTAAAAAGATCTTATTTTCTTGACAGAAATATTTTCTGACTATTTTCGAGAACATTTATGCCCCTTTTAAGTCTCCTTTTTAGTATTTTATACAACTGTAATGAAGATCAGCTACTGTATTCGTTGACCATGTAAAATGTTTTGGTTGCACTGACGTGACATACCAAGGGTGTTTTTTCTCTACGCAATATTTGCGGATTAAAGATGACAAAACTTCTCCCTCTGTCAATCTATAGACAGTTCTGCGTCCACGAGTACCCATTTCCCATAAGACAGGCCTTTTGATTACAGGTGAGGAAGTATTTCTTTTCGGTAATCTGGGGGAGCAGGAACTAAACATTTCCTTTGGTGTAAAGTTCTAGTGTTTTTATCAGCATGTTGTCACAATATTCAGTATCAAATAAATACACCAGTTCTGTAATTGCTTCTTGTATTCAACTATATTGATTGAAACTGGTAAAGCAAATCCTCTATCTCCAAGTCCTCATTTGGTGTAAAACAATGTTAGTGAATAAAAGATGCATGCACTTTAAAATGTGAGACACCATTGTAATCTTCATACTGAAACAGAACTTTTGTCTTTCTTACTTGTTTACAGGTGCCATTATTTAGAACCTGTTTACAGGGGGTTAATATTAATTCCTTACATATCGACACACTTAATTTGAGCCCCATCCTTTCATATACTGGACTGGTCAGTATAATTTTGTAATCCTGAAGGCTAATCTTTAAAGATATATAAACCAGTTTGCTTTAAAACTTTTAAAATACATTGCTTTATAGATTAAATTTCAGTAGTTACAGGAGTAAATGTCACATCTTGTGTGAAAGTTACAGAATATTTAGACAAATTACATGCAGCATTTATATAGTTCAGCAAAGGAAATCTAAAACATTGCTGGCATAATTTCACAGCTTTCAGTCTGAGCCTGGCCTGTGTTATTGTACTTGGTGTTTCAACAGGTTGTGGGTTTTTTTTATGGAAACACTATTTACTCTGATGTATGAAGTAGGGCCCTGAGACTGCCGATCTTGCAATCAAATTTGACTTTTTGTGCAGAACTAATGAAAATGCATCCTCATAGAGCTAGTGAGAACAGAAGTCTTCTCAGGGGAGCTGTCTGAGCTAAGCTTTGTTGTTGGAAATACATGGCCCGTTGGTTGTACTTTGTGCTGAATGCTGAAGTCAGAATCCTACAGGCTGTTTTTAAAGCAGTACACAATGCCCATTATTACATCAGTCCATCTGCTTGAAATACAAGAATACAGCAATTAAGATAGAAAGCCCTTTCTTCTTAATCCAGAGATTCCAGGCAATCCATAAAAGCACCTTACCTTTTGTAAGACCCCTTACATAACTCTCGATTTAACCATTCATTGCTGAACTTTTTTTGTTTAACTGAAAGAGCAGGAAGTAAGAGCTCATAAAGATGATTAAGAACAGGTAGAGTTCAGATAAAAGAGCATCTGAATTTTACAAAGCAGTTGTCAGTATGCCAGTACTGGTTGGAAATGAGATGCTATTCAGTTGTTTTGATTTGCTCCAGAGCTCTTCAAGTATGCCTTGGTGACACACCAGTAATGGGTGTTTGGACAGTTCAGATGAGGGAGGTTGCTGATAGTCTCTGCTCTTAGTTGGTCATCGTGCCCTACTTAGTTAATGTACAGTCCAATAAGCTACCTGATACAGTTCTTGCTTAGTCATTGCGGCCAGTCACGGCTGAAGGAAGGGATGAAGTTGCAATGAACAGAGTGAAAAAGAAGGTAAAACCCATCCATTTTCTCCAGCGCTTTAGAAGAAAATAAAATCCATGGCTGCTGCTTCATGAAACCACTGCTTTATGACTCATTTCTTCCCCTTTCACGATAAATTGTTTTCTGTGAAAAAGTAGTAGTTTTACTGAAGTGGAATACTTTTTTTCCCAAGAGGCACAGATGTTTAACATTAAGCTTTGTCTTGTGTTATTCACAGATTTCTGTGTAGTTTTTATTACCGTTCTTTGTGATGCATCATGTTGTAATGGTACAGATTAATACTTAAAATAGCATTTGGTTCCTCAGGATGTGTTATTGAAGAGTCAGATGGTTGGGTCTACTGAAGGGTAGGCTACAGCCTAGACTATTTCCACTACATGACAGCTTTTAAAAGCTCCAGCTTTTGTTCAGTCTTAACAATTACTTGGGCCTTTTTATGCCTAACTCGTTTTTGCAACAGCAAAGCATATTATACAATGTGAACATGTTCTATATTTAATATTCTGTTATACTAACAGGACTGCATTAACTGGCATTCTGTTAGAACATATACTCAATCTATGCATTGGATAATGTAAGAAAGACATGGGAGAAGGATAATATAAAACTTGAAACATTGGGGGAGGATTGAGTATCAGATTTAGTTCTAGTAAATAAAAACAAACGCCACCATTATGCAAGAGTGGTTTATTTTCTGCCTTAAATAAAAGTACATTTCTGATTTGAGGTAAACCATTAGTAATAGTTTGCAAAGAGTATAAATGTCTCTAAAAATAAAATAGCAACACAAAGGTTGTGACAAGATTTACATTTGTTTCTAGACCTTCATTAGGTAGTTCATACAATACCACTTTATGTAAGCTAAATGGCTCGAACAACTGCACTCTTCATGTGAAGGCCCAGCTTAACCCAAAAATGACAGCGTTAGGACTGAGGGAAAGTCATTTGCTCTCACCACGGGTGGTCTCAGGCACTTTAACATGTTAACTTATTATGAAAGCTGCTGTTGTGCAATGCACTACTTCTGAACAATTTTGCCTAGTTTACACCTTCCCACTCAGGACTCGCCTCATCATTTTTGTTGTGTTGACAAATTGAAACAACTTGGCTGGACAGCTGAATCAGAGAAACTAAATGGTGGGAAATATATCAGCCAGGCACCCGAGCAGAATCACCTGGACAAGAAATACGTTTATGAGTGATCAGCAAGACATTAGTTATCTCCATGGAATTTCTGAGGAAGTTTTGCAGAAGTGTTTTGGATGGTGAAGGAGTACATTTACATTTGTCCTTGTTCGAATCCATTTGCCCAGCCCCCTCTGGTAGCAGACTAGGTTACATAGTCAGAACAAACCTAGTAATTAAGCAGAGATGTGAGCGAAGAGAGCAAATAAGTAAAAAGCAATTCAAAGGTCAGGTCCTTGTGTAGAGCGTTGCTGGTTATGCATGAGATTGTGCTGTTTCTTGTAATGGCAGTGTTCCAAAGCAACAAAGGCCTCAACACAGAAACAGCTTGCGCCATGTTATTTCATTTTGTACAGGAAACTTGTATAAGTTACATCGACCAGCAACGTTCTTCTGCTAAAGCTGCGTGTACAAGAGCACTTGTTAATCATGCCACACCAGCAAGTCTTCTTTTTCAGGCCTAGGAATCAATAGCAGGTGATCTTCCTTGTTTAATTTCATTAAAATTCACAGAAGAGTTTTACTAAGAGGAAAAGTGAATGAATAGTAGTCCAGTCAAGTTACACTTCATGGTGTACCTGGTTTCTAGGGATGTCTAGTTACACTCAATATCTAAAACTCTATAAGACTTTAGATGTGCTTTAAAAGTAAACAAAGAATATTAATCCATGCATAATTATGCATGACTGAATGCATCAAGTATTCATCAGTCCTTAATAATTTCCTAAGTAAAAGTGATTTAAACTTTCAAAAACTTTTGTAGTTTTCTAAAGCAGTTAGTGTTTCATCTGTAAGCCACTATGTAACTCCTTAAAAGCCAAATTATCTTATGCGATATTGAATTACAGTGCACCACAAATGAGTATGATCCTTCATGGACAAATAAAATATAGTCCCTTTTCTAAAGGAATAACAACCCAAAGACCAGACCTTGCAGAAGTTAAAACAAGATTTAGTGGAATTTGTGTTGCATATGTGAAGTTACTCTTGTGCTTGCGTCCACAGTGCTAGGTTGTTAATGAAAAACTGGATTTCAACCTACTCTGCACTAAATAGTGATAAAAGAGAAGCAGTAAGAGTCCTTTATTGCCAAAATTGCAGTTTACTTTTGCACAGACCTTTTTTTGTGCATACTTCAGATTATGTAGGTTTAAAGGAAGACATCTTAGACCTTTAGTAGTTTACCACTGAATTTGAAAAGGAAACCTTTGAAAAGAAACAATTCACTGTAACTCTGGACCTTTTGTAAGCACTGCTGCTGTTGCACCTTGTAAAACAGAAGTGGAATGTTACAAATGATCCTTTATGATTCAAAATTAGATTGTTCCTCACTGCACTCTCTAGTCTTTCTTTGCATCCTGGGCATCTTTTTCTTCTTCATCAGAGTATACAGTGTGTTCCTCCCCTTCCTTCAGCAGTTTACCAACATGGTGATACTTAACTGGGGAGAAAAAGAAAAGGAATCCGAGTCATCATTCTGTCCTGAAGATGTACCTTTTTTAACTCGTATGTCTGTTTCCTGAATTAACAAAATGCCTATGCTATATTAAAACAGCTCTCAGGTACTTGTTCCAAGCACTAGGGGGAAGGAGAAAAGACAAAATCAACTACCTATTAATGTTGTAGTAAGTGTAAGAAACGTGCAGAGTGAATGTAACAATCATTCTTCTCCTATTGCCTAAGCCAAAAGATGAGTGAATGTAAAGACGCATGTAAACTGAGGGACTCATCCAGCTAAAGAAGGAGAATCCTGGATTAGATTATTTCTCTTGCCAATGTCAAAGCTAGTTTTTCAACCAATGGCATTGTTAGAATATGTTATGTATTATACCCACACATGTACGTGCAAACATGTATACAACTTTTAAGGGTTTTTATTTTTTGTAATATATGTTGAAAATATCCAATAGGACAAAAGAGGGATCCTTTCTCCCAAAGATAAAGATGGATCTGTTATCCGATTATGCAGCTAAGCTTCTGCCTTATATCTCTTTCTGAACATGTGAAAACGCCAAGATCATATACCTGTAAGAACAGAGCTGTGCTGTGTTGCCCATCTGTCAACTTCAACAAAGCAAAGGATGTCTATGACTACAGGTATTTCAGAATAGCATTGTTGTAATTAATTAATAAGAATTGAAAGCAACTAATTGTCAAATTTACTTACTAGACACATAGGAGTAGAAAGAGTGCAGTTCACTGTCAGTCCTGATGCCTAACTCTTAAGAAGGTAGATTTACAGGCTAGTTTAAGTCATATACTTGGTAGTATAGTTCTGGTTTCTGCGATATACTTGTTAGCATAATAAAACAGCCATTCAATGTGGTGTGATTAACAGTCTTGATTAAGACAGGAAGACCGCCAAAATAGTAGGGGCACATCAGGTCAGAACTGGGATGTTCTAATGGTGTTATGTAGAGGAAAGCTCCATTCTAGGTAGTGATAGCAAACCATTAATACTGAACACTAGATTTAAAAACAAAAACCATTTTATTTTCACTATACTACTTTTTCCCCATTATCTCTCTTAAAAAAAAAAGACAAACAACTGATAATTTTTTGTCTTATCTGAGTAGAAATAATCCTGATGATGTATTTCACCGTACTACTTTTTTCCCATCATCTCTTCCCTCAAAAAAAAATTAATCGAGACAAACAACTGATACATTTATTTTTTGTCTTATCTGAGTAGAAATAATCCTGTTGATGTTCACTTGCTAAAAGGCATCATGAGATATGGAGGAATTATTTTTCATCAACAAGATACACAATAGGAGAAAAAAAATTGTACCAGTGGGCATGCCCTGGTACAAGGTCAACATAAGCAATTTCCATAAAACTGTGGTTTGAAGTTCTCCTAAGCAGCAAGTTGAGGCACAACACAAAACAGCTGGAATTGCCTTTTTAAAACTTTTAATACAAAGCATAGAAAAATAAAGGCAACTATGAGAGTGATTTCCTTCTGTTAATTTTAGAACAAACATCTCAAATGTGGAAGTTGCCTTTGTTCCTCTGCCACTCTGGCCATCACTGGTAACGACCAGGCTGCTTGCAAGCCCAGAGGTGGCATTTGCCCATTCCTGATCTCCTCCTGGGGTAGAAAGTCAGCTGGATACAGTTGTCTGTGAATCTGATAAAGCCATGCAGAGTAACTTTATTTAGAGTAAAAAAAGTTATATCAAGAGCTCCAAGGGGAAAAGGCCTAGTTTAAACAGTCTTCAAAACTCAAAAAACCCAAGAAGTAATAATTCAAATATTATTCTTATTTCTGAGAAGTGGAAGGGGACATAAACTTGATTTTTCAGAGCATTAAAATCTTATTGTCTCTATAGATGGGGTGTTAACTCTTATCAAAACCACGCTCTTAATTTCCAATTCCTGTCAACTTTTTGGGTGGTTTTACAGACCTTATCCTATGACAGAGTGCTTCCATCTTTCCTATAGTTCTGTAAAGAGCAGAGGGAGGGAGAACACAGGAGAACCTGACATTTCTCTTAATTCATTTGAGTAACAGTAATTCTAGTAATAGTAAACTGAGGTATTATTCAAAGTAAGTTTTCAGACTGATGCTTCCAGCTGGTAACCTTTGCTTCCCTTATCACACATTTTATTAGCTATTTCTTTGTAAATAGGTTTAAAATTGCTTACAAGTGAACTGTGACTCCCAGTCCCTCAAGGTCTCTTGCTGTGTAGCGTTGAGATCAGAAAGGTCATCATAGTCATCCCTCAGAGTCTCCTTACCCAGGCAGAAAGTGGCAAGACCTCGGGATGCATCTCTTCCAGCAAAAATCCCATATGGGCCCTCTTCAAAAGAAAAACATAAGCAGCCTTAATAGAGAGGTAATGGATGCTGTATGATCTTCATGGATCAGAGTCCCCAAACTGAAACAGATGAGTTCCAACCCTGACCTGTGGGTCACGGGTGCCTCAAACTTCCGAAATGTTTTTAAGTTTTATTCTACTTGGTAATAAGGGAAAACTGAGGAAGAGGACAAGAAACAAAACCATGGGAAGAGATAATGAGTTTGCTGAAACAACAGGACAACAAACCACCCAACAGTTCATGGAACATACAAACAGTAAGAATAAGCATACAAATTGGGAAGCACATCCTCAGAAAGAGGAACAGAGGAAGGATTTGTAAGTCTGAGGTGAAATGGAAGTTTTCTAAGAGATGTTCCTGACTTAAAGAGCTGAATGGCCAACTTGACAGAAAATGTGGTGGAGATATCAGAAGTTACCAACTTGGGAGAAACATCTATGAAAACTTTCAAAATACAAGATGAACTCAAATGACCAAAACATGCAACTCACAGTAGATCAGATATCTTATCAAGACAGGCTATTGCTAAACGTCATTAATGATTAACTTGCTTGCATGACAAGCCGAAAATGGGGACATTGCATGTTGCAATTAGACATTGAAAGTTCTTCTTCAGGGAGCTTAAAGAACTTAGATGTGAACTCTGGTTACTGTAGAGAGCATGCAATCTTCCACACCTCACAGAGTGAGCTTTTTGCTAAATTCATCAAAAGTGTCTTACTTTTCCATTAAAATGAAAACCAGACACAGTGATGAACCATTCAGCAATTATCAAACTAGATACAATATCAAGGAAAGCATCCAAAGCAGTCTTTAAGTGGCTTTTAGTTTGCACAAATACAAAACTGGACATCTAATGCAGCTGTATATACCACCTTGACTGCTGCAGAATGCAAAGTTAGGGTCCAGCATCATTCAGCAACAGTCTCCAGTCCATGTTTGGACCAAAAGTATCCAATCTCATGGTGCTTCTAACTACGTGGTGTCTCCTGCACTATTTTCTGAGTAGCATGGGCAGCTCACTACTGCAGCTACCAGCTGTCTGGACAGCTCAAAGAGTGGTTTGCCAGACAGATCCTGGTACAAACTGGCAAGCCTCAGTGGGGCTTTTTAACAGAAGGCCTCTGTTAAAAATCAAAATCCATGCTGTAGTGGAGGTGATTCAACTCTTCCACCTGGGTGCACATACTCCCACCCACCCCATTGCTAGCTGCTCTGCATGGCTTATTCAATCTTCCCATGTCTGAACTGCCTACACCCCTGTCAGAAAGCTGGTTTAATGGAAATTGGTAAGTATTTAGTAGAAGTATTATGCAACAGGGTGATGTCCACTACAGTTGAGAATGTAAACACTGAGAGAACACTTCACTTCTGCTGCCTGGCATCAGGCAAAGGCACCCGAGGCCAACGAAACCTCCCAACCCAGCAGCGGCACAACCCCTTACGGTACGTGTAGCCTGCCCTGGGAAAATAAAGACAATAATGAAGCAACGCGGGCTGGCAAAGCCGGACTTTGTACAACACCGAGGCCCGACTCTGGAGGCCAGGCAGCGGCGGTGATCCTGCCCCGCGCCTCACCCGGGCAGGCCGGTCTCCCCGCGCGGCGGGCGGGCTGCGCGCACCCTCCGGGGCGCCGAGAGCCGGATCCTTCCCAAACCTCCGGCTGGCGAGCGGGGC